CATCAACTTCCCCATGTTCCTCTAATATGTGCCTCTACTCCGTCTACAAACCCCCAATGATGACAAAAGTCCATCTCTCCGTCTTCTCCCTGCTCCACTTTTCAGAAAATGTGTGCTCAAACAGGCCGTTTCGAGATTTTCCCTTCATGACATCACAAAGGGCAGTAACCCCTCCCCCAGGTGGGTGACACTCCCACAGCTAGGTGTTTTTCTGCCCTCTGAGTCTGCCTTCTCACCGTGAAAGCCAGAGACACCCAGCCCTTCCAGAGAGGGGGCGTGGTCAAACACAGCTCATTTACATTTAAAGGTACAGACACAGAAACAGCCTGTTCTGACAAGGGCTGAAATAGAGGGGTTTATAGACATGATCAAATACAGGATCAGAGTGGATTTAGAACAAGAAACTTCACACATGTTTTGAGGAGCTCTGTTTTGAGGAGGGTATGTGACCTTTAAAGTTCACAGATGAACAACTGTCACCACACTGAGTCATAATCAGTGATGACATCATGAAGGATAAACAGGAAGTTGACCCAGCAGGTCCGAGTGGAAACCTCAAAGCAGTCAGAGTAATTTAAACTTGATAATATTCTAGTAAAAGTCTGTTTGTTACAACTAAAATAGAAGTCCTAGACACCCACTTTTTTGGTAATTTATTGTTTTTAATTATCAAATATTGCAGACAAACTCCTGCACACTTGTACAGTAGCACTGGCCATGATTTGGTGAGATTTTGCCAATGGGTTAGAACAAGTTAGACGGAGTGCAGGAGTTTGTCTGTGATATTTGATCAACTCTTTCCTCCCCTACTTACAGAAGGGACATTCCGCCATACATTTCATACGGGCTGGAGTACCGACCACTGAGCGAAGAACTCTCTTGGAATGATAGGAATGTATTTTTTAGACCAGAAATGACCCCTTGCACACATTATATTATATCATAGATCTTTGTGTTTGGGTCATTTGGAGCCTCATTGTGCCCTCTTACCTCAGTAACAGGTATATCTACCTGTCTGATCTAGGTGTGACATCACCATGAGCTCTAATGTCCCACAGCACCTGATGACAGGAATCATTTCATCTAATTTAATTTAAGGATACGTTTCCTCAGGGGGGACTCGTTCTTGTTGCCGTGAATCTCTCCGGGCCCGTACCGACCGGGGGGACCTCTCATGTTTCCTCCTCCCCGGGTCCCTCGGTTCCAGTTTCCTCGTCCCCCGTTCGGCATGCCCCGGTGTCTGAACCGGCCCAGGGCCCCGTGGCTCCGCTCCCAGAAGCTGCTCCTCGGGCTCGGCTCTCCGTGAGGTCCCAGCCCTGGCGGAGGGAGCAGCAGCGGCGGAGGTGAGGGAGGCCGGTCGGGCCCGCTCGGCCCGCACTGCTGCCGGTGGTTCGGGAGGAAAGGTCCGCGGTTGTATGGCATGAGGAGGCGAAAATCTGGCGGCGGGAGGGCAGGGTGTAGAGGCAGGCCGTGCGGGTGTTGGTGAGGTTTTCTCGGTCGTGGAGGAGCTCCTCCGCGGGGCCTGTTACCCTCCCCCCGCCGGAGCGGCACACTGTCTTCCGCTTCATCGTCGCAGATCTCCCCGTCCTCCAGCTCGCCCTCCTCCGCGGGATAGCGACTCTTAGAGTTTAAATCCATGGTTTAAAAAATATAAAGAATTACAGTCTCGTATTAAATCGGTGTGCGGTTTGTAAACTCATCTGTCCGGAAACACACAGCTCATTTTCACACTTCATGTACAGTCATCCCACGGTTAGCTCACTGCTAGCTGCTGAGCTGCTAATCTCGTTTAACTCTCGCGATACAACAAGCTTTTTTTTAACCTTTATTAAACACTGTGGCACAACAAACAGACAAAGGCCCCTTTTGGGACGTAGGAACTTTCCCGTTAAACTAGCGACCTTTTGTGGAACTATACATTTCGACCGCAGAAACCAGGGTCAAAATTTAGTTCTGGGGTAATTATTCCAATTATTCTTTAAAAAAAGACCCTGCTCGGGGGGTAAGTCCTTTCTAAAGGTCCAGGTACCTTCAGGTCAGCACCTGCACTGCTGAATGTATATAGTAGGTCCAGTTCAGACGGCTTTATGCAAAAGAACCATAACCAAACTCAGTCGTCATCACGTCTTTGTACATTCATATTGATCCCGTGAAAAATATTGGTGTCCTATAGTGCTTTCTCACCTGCACTAAACTCCAGATATTTCCAGGAGGAGTTGTTTGTGTGTACGCGAACAGCCGCATTTTTTTTTTACTAAGACTCTGAGCTGATGTGAGAACACAGCAGGATATAATCAGGAGAATTCACCTCGACGTTTATACACTGTGCTTACTGCATAGACTGTCTGCACGCCACCTCTACCATCTCCGTGCTCTAATGAACATGCTGCACTATGTTTCCTGTTCTCCAGTATGTTTTCTCCACTCTTTAGTTCAGATTGTGATTGTGTTGAATTACACGTAGCATTGATAGAAAGACACATATTCTCATTAGCTTGCTTAATCCGGCACTTCCACGTCTATTATTTTACGTCATGTCTTACCTCAGGAGACCCCGTAGACCACTCAGGTGAAGAGAGAATTGAAGAGGCTAAAGGTAAGAAAGACTGCAGGTCCAGATGGTATCATCTCCAGGCTCCTCAAATCCTGTGCAGACCAGCTCTGTGGGGTTATACATGTTCAACATGAGTCTGAAACTAGGTAGAGTACCACAGCTTTAGAAGACATCCTGTGTGGTACCTGCACCGAAGACTTCCCACCCAAAGGACTTCAACCACTACAGGCTGGTGGCACTTACATCACACACGGCCTGTATCCGAATTGCCAAGTACCTACTCAATCTGTCAGTAGACAGTACCTACTATCCGTGCTGTATACTGTTTAGTACCTACTATTCAGTAGGCAGATATTTGTTCCTACTTCGTCTGATTCATTCAGTATGGAAGTTATGCGAACAGGCCGCATCCACCCGTTTTTTTTGTTTATCTTTATTCAAGAAGAGTAATGCTCATATACTAAACAATATCACAATGTAAATCAAGTAAAAGACAGATTAAATAACTAAATAGCATACAGTACATAAAGAAAAGTACAAATGAAAGACAGTAATATAAAGTAAAATAAACCAATAAAAGATGCATTTAAATAGTGAAATTATTATTTAAATAGAGGAAGAAAGGTTTTATAATAATGCAGATATTTGTTATATTTTCTGTTGTTAATTAAAAGTCGTGATTTCAGTCGGGACTTTAACTCTAGATTAAAAAAATATTCAATTAATCCACGCTTGTTTGTTTTGATTTGGAGGCGGACATGACGTGACGATTTATGTTTAATTTCGCACAGCATTGTAGGTGGTAAAATACAATTCATTTCCTGAAAGCACGCATCCGATCCATACTGCATGAAACCCGGAAGTTAGTATCCATACTGAAATGTTCAGTTTACTGAGGTGGACCCAAAAATGCATCCTGAATGACCACGAGAGTTCAGTATACTGAAACTCCCTACTGAATAGTACGTACTGCCTACTGAACTGTGGCTATTCGGAAAGGGCCCTGATGAAGGCCCTGAAGAGGTTGATCCTTCACCATCTGCGCCCCCTGGCATCGGGGTGGATGATGCTGTCATCCCCCTCCTGCAGCGAACTCTCTCACCTCCTACAGAGGACTGGGAGAACTGTGAGGATCCTGTTTTATGATTCCTCTAGTGCTTTCAACACCATACAGCCCATGCTTCTGAGCGACAAGCTGGAACACACAGGAGTCGACCTGTACCTCACATCATGGCTCCTGCATTACCTGACCAACTAGCCACAGTTTGTGAGGAAACGATATGTGTGTCCGACTTGGTTATCTGCAGTACAGGGGACTGTTTTGGCTCCCTTAACTTCCCCCCTCTGCACGGCAGACTTCTTCCACAAAACAACAAACTGTCACCTGCAGAAGTTCTCTGATGACTCTGCCATTGTTGGTCCCATCACTGATGGGGACGAGGGGAGTACAGAGAACTCAACCTGGACTATGTGGACTGGTGCCAGCGGAACTGCCTCCAGATCAACGCGGGTAAAACCAAAGAGCTGCAGTTGGACTATCCCAGGCACAGACTCACTCTTCTAACACCAAGCAAACAATAAGCTTGGCTGGACTATCAACATACTGTATAAGAAAGGCGAGAGCAGACTTCACTTGTTGAGGAGACTCAGGTCCTCCGGAGTGCAGGGGGACCTCCTGAGGACCTTTTACAACTCTGTGGCAGCATCAGTCATCCTGTACGGAGTGGTCTGCTGGAGCAGCAGCATCACGGTAAAGTGACAGGAACAAACGGAACAAGCTGGTGAAGAATGCCAGCTCTGTTCAGGACTGCCCCCTTGACAGTGTGGAGGGGGCAGTCCTGCACCACGACTTGAACCAGCGACCCTCCGGTACCCAACCAAGGTCCCTAGAGACTGAGCTACTGCTGCCCCCATATTAATATTTGGGTTATTTCAACAGCATGCAGGGTTCAATTTCCCAATTTAACATGAAGTGTAAACACAAACAAACAAGTGCAAATGCTGAGCTCACTCAAAAAGTGTTATATTTTTATAAAAACACTCCTAAGCAGGAGTGTTGTCGGTATTTAGGGTTTAAATGTTTATTGGCTTAAATCAAATACAGATTTGTTTTTAATGTCTTATTTTAACTTTATGATGTTTTAAATGCTTATTTATTTTTTTAAGGTTTGGATAATATCGGCTCGTATCCAATCAGAGCTTCAGCATTAATTCACTCAGTCATGAACAAATGTCTTTACGGTTTATTTATTATTTCGTGAGCTCGGAAAACACGCAGTGCGCTTGCGCAAAGCTCTCCGCCGGAAGCTGAGTTGTCAGTTTTGTTTTGGTGGCTGACAGACACGTGAGCTGCTGACGTCACCAGGCAAGAGGCGACATGGCGGCGGACTCTTTGGTCAAGGTAAAAATACATGAAGACATTATTTATCGTGAAGAAAGTCTGTTAAATATGATGTTTATAACTTTAATACGACCTTAATAGCCGCGTCAGTCTGACGTCACTGGTCCGTGTTTCCCAGTTAGTTCACCAGCTAATGAGTTAGCTGAAGTTAGCCGCTAAGCTAACAGAGCAGTAGTCCTAAACACATCATCACATAAGAGCACGAGGACAGAACAACAACAACAACAACAACAACAACAACAACAACATCGAAAACATGACCACAGTGTGATTATATTGTTTGTTCAGATAAAAGAGACCAGCTCGGTCTGGTGGTATGATGAAGTGTTCACGAAGCTAGCTGCTGCTTGTTGTTGACAGTTTGGGCCCAGGGGAGAGAGGAACTATTAAACTTCCTCATCGAGGTTTTAGATTAAAGAACAGACACAATAAACGGATATAAATCATCCTTACAGGTGGACATCAGTCAGTGGAAACTACAGGCTGACGTTAGTAAACGTACTTCCTGTTCCGGTTTGAAAATCAAAATAAAACATTACACCTCTGGAGGAGGAGTTAACCCACCAGCTGATCTTTATATATGTGACGCAGGCCCTGTTTGTTTATCGCCCTGCATCTAAGTTCTCTTAAATGCTGTCTCCTCGCTCCTCGGCCGATCCGGAAGTAGTTTTAGACCCGCCATGTTAAGGATCGTCCTAAAACTCTTATAACTGAACGGAGGAGAGAGGAGGGAGGAGAGAGGAGAGAGGAGAGAGGAGAGAGATCTGAGGAGAGAGATCTGAGGAGCGATGACCGAGGATACACGAGAGCTGCTGACTTTGCGGAAGTCTTTTTACTGACAGGCACGCCCCCTTATCGATTATCACTCATCGTCGGACATTTAAACAGACTGTAAACATCTGTCAGTTTGTAAAGAGTCAGTCTGTGATGAGCTGGGGTTAAAAAAGTGTTTGACATGAGGAGCAACAACGAAATATGAAGCATAAGTTCTATAAAATCAATATAATGGAGAGTAGACCGATCTCTCCTGACTTTATATTTGATTTGTTTTTGATTCACTGTCAAACAAAAAGTCTGTTAGTATGAAGTGTTAAAATCAAATGATCATAAGCGATTCCTTCATAACTTTAACAGGTAGGCCTATATTTATTTTCATGATCAGTCAGACTGTCCGTTTTAATTTATTATATTGAGAATGAACGCCTGACAGCGTGGGAGTCGTCTGTCAGTCAGAAACACGTTTTACATTTATCATTATGTTAAAGAAGTTTCATATCAGACTGATCATTAATGATCTTCGTTTTTGAAAAATGTAATTTTCTCTATTTAGAACTTAATAAATCATTTCCAGTATTACTAGGACATCATAAAATATATTTGTTTATGAAATACAGCGTTCATTATCAAATTATTAGTCAAAAATAAACAATTCAATATTCAATCTTTTTGTCAGTGAAAATTGTCCTTTTGGTTTGAAGCAGACTGCAGGTTGTTCTTACAGTTGTTTGTTATCAGGTAACATAAAGAGTAAACACTGCTACTGTGTGTATTTTATTAGAAATAATACAGTTCATATTTGTGCAGACATAAACAGCTGTTTAAGTCGACTGACAGCTGAACGTGATCAGCTGATGTCATCATCACAAGCGTCACGTGACGCTACAGAGGAAAGGACGTCTCATGTCTCTTAAAACATATCTCCTCATTTCCTCTCTTCTCTGCTTCGTTTCCTTGCATCTCTCAATGCATCTCTGAGGAGGGACTAAGATGCAAGTGGAGGCAATTAAGGGAACTGGGATGTACCCTCAGACTCACGCAGATTAACAACTCCATTACGTCAATTCCGGTTAGGGCTGCCATGGTTCACAGAGGGAAAGGCTCCGTTCCATTTTGGTTCAACAGCAACAAAAAGTCTCACTAAAATAGAGCTTCTGATGTCCAATCAGTGAGATGTGTAGTGAGTGAAATGATAAAGTGAGCTTACTATATGATCAGACATTAAGGAAACATGCTATGTTGAAGTGCTGGCTTCTCTGACAACAATGCAGCAGCCAGTATGTCCTCCTTCTAACTTTAGATTCTGGTCCTGAATGCTCTGGATTTGTTTGGACCAGAGAAGGTAGGCGGTTTTAAGGCCCCCCCCTCCACACACACACACACACACACACACACACACACACACACACACACACACACACACACACACACACACACAGCTGTTTTAGACGCCCCTTGGTTTGCCAGATATGAGAGCAGTTATCAGGTCAAACCAACAGGTGTTGCAGTGATGGAAGAGGGCAAGAGAACTGGTTCAGATAGAAGTGATTGTACCCGACCTAAAAAGCCTCTGCATGTTTCTAATAAGCTCCACGAGCAGAAACGTGCTCAAACTAGGATCAATATTGGAGATGCTTTGAAAAATAGAGAGGTTAGAATGCAGAAAGGTTTACAGACCAATGTAGAGCTGGCTAAACACTGAAGCTTCAGTGTTCATCACATGGCAACCTGCGTGAGCATCGACTCCAGAGAGGAGGGGGCGGGGGAGACAGCTCTCGGCTTGTCTGCAGACAGAAACGCTGTTTTTATTTGATAATATGATGAATGGTTTGAAACATTAGTTACTGTCTCTCTGTCGGTCCTTCAGGTAGTGTTTGAACGTGAAGGAGTTTTTATTCACACCAGCAGTGATGAAGATGGCATCGAGCAGGATTTACTCGTCTCAGGATCACTTCGGATCGTTGACAAGGTAACACAACAGGACTCGGCGTCTCTCTGTAATCAAATCAATCAATCAGATCAAACTGTTACCAAACCGACTACTCTGATCACTGAGCAGCTTGTAGTGGTGCTAGAGATCACAAATCTCACGGTTTGGATCAGATAACAGATTTTTGTCATGGATTAGAAACCCTCACTGCCCTACAGCACCTCCCTCTTCTTCAATGTTTCCAACATATTTGTACAATTCATTCAAGTGTGCGGGAGTTTGTCTGTGATTTTTGATAATTAAAAAGCAACAAATTACCCAATATTTGGTGTCTAGGACTTCTATTTCAGCTGCCGTGGTATAAAACAGGTAAAGATATCATTTGATTTTTATTAGAATCATATCAAAGTTTAAAGGTTTCATAACAACAATCATTTTCTTTTTCTGTTGATAAAATGACGGTTTCCACTCCAAAGGATGTAAATGGTGTCGTTAAACAGTTTGTTTGATAGCCTAAGACCATGGCGCTCTGTGGTTGATGATGTCTGTTTGTCTGTCAGGATGCAGAGATGATGGTGGAGTACAGACCTCTGGAGGACTCCGTCGACTCCACAAACATGCTGTGTGCTGGAAAGGTCCGACTTGTTTTCTGTAACTAAACACGCTGACTAACCACGCCTCTATATTTTATTTTTTAAAATACTTTATTAATCCCTGAGGGAAATTCTGGTTTACACTCCATTATTGAGAGACATGTTTCTCACACAGATAGGCCTGAATCACACACAAGCACAAACAGGACCTGTGGACATGCATTAATGGAAAGATGTCAGAGTGGGGCTACACACTGCTACGCAGAGCAGGTGGGGGTTCGGTGCCTTGCACAAGGGCTTTTCAGCAGTACTTGGGAAGTGCATCTCTTCAGCTACAAGAACAACTTCCAGATTTGTTGTCCGCACCGGGACCTGAACCGGCGACCCTTCAGTTCCCAACCCAAGTCCTTACAGACTGAACTGCTGCGGCTTTATACACATATATCCAAATTAAATCTATACACTAACCACACACACACACACACACACACACACACACACACACACACACACACACACACACACACACACACACACACACACACACACACACGTTTAATGAGATCTGACAGCTGAAAGAAAGACGGGAAACAAAACATGCTGCACAAGCTGCTGTTCTCTTCACCACCAGAGGGCAGCAGAGCGCCAGGGTTTTTTTTACACTGGGTGACTCCATAACTACACTTTGGGCTACTTTCATCTCAAACAACAGACTTTTAAATGGACATGATTTAGTGTGTGCGTGTGTGTTTGTATTTTTCTGTCAGGACTCGAGCTCAGTGGTGGAGTGGGTCCAGAGTTCAGGGGAGCGATCCAATCAGCTGCTAGAGTCCCAGCAGAGCTACGAGACCGAGTGGGACATGATCAACGCTGTGTCATTCAAGAAGAAAGCCTGCACCAACGGAGAAAACGGTGAGCTCTTTATCATCAACGAGGAGAAGGAGCGAGGGTTTCCTCTCCGGCTCCTCCCTCTTGTCCAAAACGCTACGATGGATAATTAACATAACAAAGGTTGTATTGTTTTTAACACGTGGTATAGAAAGAAGACCAAAGTACCTGGCGTACCTGGTTAATGTGTGTTCTGTTCTCCCTGTTGGCGGTCTCTCAGGCGCTCTGAACCACAGCCATGAGCGGAGCAGGTGGGCGTTCGCCTTCAGCCTCAGTGAGCTGAGCACCATCACCGTGAAGGAGGAAGGTTGGACTGTCATCTTCTTCCAACTGAAGGAGTCGTCCTCGCTGCCTCCTCTGCACTTCCACCAGGGCGGCAGCATCGAGTTCCTGGACTACCTGAGGAGGTTCGCTCTGCTCAGCCAGTGAGTACAGATGATACACCTGTTTGAGTTTGGTCTCCCTGCAGAAACTCAGACAGTTTTACAGATAAAGGACTTCTCTTTAATCTGAACACTAGTGGACTGAAACAACATACTGTACTATACTGTATGGAACACACACACATGGCCAGGACACACACACACGCTGTACGTTCATCTCTGATACACACACACACACAGCACACAGCACACTCATATCCGATACAAACACAGGGCCAGAACATACACTCACAGACATACACATACACACACTCAGCGTGACTCTGTAGCTCGTCACATTTGCAGTGATTTCTATGCTAGTGTGTGTGTGTGTGTGTGTGTGTGTGTGTGTGTGTGTGTGTGTGTGTGTGTGTGTGTGTGTGTGTGTGTGTGTGTGTGTGTGTGTGTGTGTGTGTGTGTGTGTGTGTGTGTGTGTGTATCAGAGATGAGCCGACAGCGTGTGTGTGTGTCTCTGCTGATATCTGTTATTAAAGTTCTTATCGAAGCCTTCAGAATAAAAACATTAACAGCCGCCATGTGACTGTGACGTCATGCTGACCGTCTGCCTGCTGATTGGCTTATTCCTCCTCTCTGTTTGTGTGAAAACAAAAACATTCTAAGATGAAAATTTACATACAGATTCAATCAGAGTCTTTTAATCTGTATTTAAATTGACATATTGATTATTAAATAATGATTCTGTTATCCTGTGTCGTTCAGGGAGGGAGGGACTAAAAGGTTAGAGTTGTGTGACGTGTGTTCCAGTGTGTGTGTAACAGTGCGGGTAACAGTGTGTGTTGTGTGTGTGTGCAGGGCTGCAGATGATGGCTCGTGTCTGACGGTCAGTACTCCAAACAAAGCTCTGTCTCAGTCCTTTGAGAACCTGCTGGACGACAACAACTTTGGCCTCGTGAACGTAAGAAAATACACACTCCTCCTTTACTCTCCTCCCCCTGCTGTAGTCTATACACTCCTCCTCCTGCTCAGATTAAACACTCCTCCTCCTCCTCCTCCTCCTCCAGCTCAGGCTATACACTCCTCCTGCTGCTCAGGCTATACACTCCTCCTGCTGCTCAGGTTAAACACTCCTCCTACTGCTCAGGTTAAACACTCCTCCTGCTGCTCAGGTTAAACACTCCTCCTGCTCCTGCTGCTCAGGTTAAACACTCCTCCTGCTGCTCAGGCTAAACACTCCTCCTCCTGCTCAGATTAAACACTCCTCCTGCTCCTGCTGCTCAGATTAAACACTCCTCCTGCTGCTCAGGTTAAACACTCCTCATGCTGCTCAGGTTTAACACTCCTCCTGCTGCTCAGGCTATACACTCCTCCTGCTGCTCAGGTTAAACACGCCTCCTGCTGCTCAGGTTAAACACTCCTCCTGCTGCTCAGGTTAAACACTCCTCCTGCTCCTGCTGCTCAGGTTAAACACTCCTCCTGCTCCTGCTGCTCAGGTTAAACACTCCTCCTGCTGCTCAGGCTAAACACTCCTCCTGCTGCTCAGGCTAAACACTCCTCCTCCTGCTCAGGTTAAACACTCCTCCTGCTCCTGCTGCTCAGGTTAAACACTCCTCCTGCTGCTCAGGTTAAACACTCCTCCTGCTGCTCAGGCTATACAGTCCTCCTGCTGCTCAGGTTAAACACGCCTCCTGCTGCTCAGGTTAAACACTCCTCCTGCTGCTCAGGTTAAACACTCCTCCTGCTCCTGCTGCTCAGGTTAAACACTCCTCCTGCTCCTGCTGCTCAGGTTAAACACTCCTCCTGCTGCTCAGGCTAAACACTCCTCCTGCTGCTCAGGCTAAACACTCCTCCTCCTGCTCAGATTAAACACTCCTCCTGCTCCTGCTGCTCAGGTTAAACACTCCTCCTGCTGCTCAGGTTAAACACTCCTCCTGCTGCTCAGGTTAAACACTCCTCCTCCTGCTCAGGCTAAACACTCCTCCTGCTGCTCAGATTAAACACTCCTCCTGCTGCTCAGGTTAAACACTCCTCCTCCTGCTCAGGTTAAACCCTCCTCCTCCTGCTCAGGTTAAACACTCCTCCTGCTGCTTAGGTTAAACACTCCTCCTGCTGCTCAGGGTAAACCCTCCTCCTCCTCCTGCAGTTGTAGTCTGAACTGCTTTCTGTTTGTCTCTTGCAGAAGTTTAAGAAGGACCCGTACGTCACCACATTGGGAGGCTTCTCCAAAGTCACCAACTACATCTTTGACGCCTTCCGGGGGACAGAGGAGCAGCACCAGCGCCCCCCAGAGGAGGTGGCCGACCTGCTGGGAGAGGTGATCCCCGGGCTGGAGATCAACCAGCAGGAGGAGCCGGGCTTCGAGGTCATCACCCGGGTGAGACAAGGAGGAGACCCCAACATTGTGCTGATGTTTGAAATGAAAGTGGAATAACTCTGACTCTGTGTGTATGTGTTCCGTCAGATTGACCTGGGGGTGAGGCCTCAGGTGACGAGGGTGGGGCCTCTGTCAGTGGAGGACTGGACCAAACACCAGGACCAGGAGGGCAGGATGACCGACGTCTCCCGCCTCAAACGCGCCATCTTTAAAGGGGCATGTTACCGTTTAAAAGTTTATTATCTATTCATTAATAACAATTTTATGAGATAATATTTACAATCTGGGGCTGCAGTGCTCGGTGGTACATGGTGTGTGTGTGTGTGTGTGTGTGTGTGTGTGTGTGTGTGTGTGTGTGTGTGTGTGTGTGTGTGTGTGTGTGTGTGTGTGTGTGTGTGTGTGTGTGTGTGTGTGTGTGTGTGTGTGTGTGTGTGTGTGTGTGTGTGTGAGATTACCCAGCATGCATAGGGGCGGTGTTCTCATGCTGTGTGTGGTGTTCTAACCTGCAGGGTTTATGTCACGCTTTGAGGAAGGAGGCCTGGAAGTTTCTGCTGGGATACTTCCCCTGGGAGAGCACACTGGAGGAGAGGAAGGCCCTGCAGAGGAACAAAACGTAGGCATGATCACACACACACGCACACAAACAAACACATCGACACACAGACACAGACACACACACAAACAATCACATCTACACACACACACACACACACACACACACACACACACACACACACAAAAAGCACTGTAACTAAGCTCAGCCGTCAACACGTCTTTGCACGTTCTTGTTGATTCTGTGATGGCGTTGTATTTGTGTCTCAGTCTGTGAGGTCACATTGCGTTTTGGCATTGTGTAAGCATGGCACAGCTGAAGCTCCACGTACACACACAGTCAGACACACACACACACACACACACAGGGATGTTCTCCCCCGCTGTCTCTGCTCTGTAACGTACAGATGGGGGATCATTTCGTCCTCCAATTACGCCGCCACGACATTCAGAGCGAAGGCGAAATGTCACAGTAAATATCAGGGCTTGAAACGGGGGTCTGAACAGGGCTAGTTCAGGAGCAAACTTGTTCTCTAATCATGGTTACCATGGTAACCCCTAATGCCCGCCCATCATGGACCACGAGACGTTTTTCGTCGAGGTCAAGCAGATACAAAAAGGACTGAGGGGGAATATTTACCCTCGGCTGTGCTTTTTAGGTTTCAGGTTGTTTTTGTTGTGATGATGCTGATGTTTGTGTCTCCATGGTAACAGGGATGAGTACTTCAGGATGAAGCTGCAGTGGAAGTCAGTGAGCGCTGAACAGGAGAGAAGAAACTCCAAACTGAGAGACTACAGGAGTCTGATTGGTCAGAGATTAACCCTCTCCTGTCTGTGTCTGTCTGTGGTCAGAGGTTAACCCTCTCCTGTCTGTGGGTCAGAGGTTAACCCTCTCCTGTCTGTGTCTGTCTGTGGGTCAGAGGTTAACCCTCTCCTGTCTGTGGGTCAGAGGTTAACCCTCTCCTGTCTGTGTCTGTCTGTGGGTCAGAGGTTAACCCCCTCCTGTCTGTGTCTGTCTGTGGGTCAGAGGTTAACCCTCTCCTGTCTGTGTCTGTCTGTGGGTCAGAGGTTAACCCTCTCCTGTCTGTGTCTGTCTGTGGGTCAGAGGTTAACCCTCTCCTGTCTGTTTGTCTTTCAGAGAAAGACGTGAATCGGACCGACAGAACAAACCGCTTTTATGAAGGCATCGATAACCCCGGGCTGGTCCTGCTCCACGACATCCTGATGACCTACTGCATGTTTGACTTTGACCTGGGTCAGTCACCTACTCCTCCTCCTCCTCTATGTCCTCCTCCTCCTCCTCCATGTCTTCCTCCTCCTCTTCCTCTATGTCCTCCTCCTCCTCCTCCATGTCTTCCTCCTCTCTTCCTCTATGTCCTCCTCCTGCTCCACCTCTATGTCATTCTCCTCCTCCTCCTCTATGTCCTCCTCCTCCTCCTCCACCTCTATGTCCTCCTCCTCCTCCTCTATGTCCTCCTCTTCTATTTCCTCCTCCTCTATGTCCTTCTCCTCCTCCTCTATGCCCTCCTCCTCCTCCTCCACCTCTATGTCCTCCTCCTCCTCTATGTCCTCCTCCACCTCTATGTCCTCCTCCACCTCTATGTCCTCCTCCTCCTCTATGTCCTCCTCCTCCTCCTCCTCTTCCTCTATGTCCTCCTCCTGCTCCTTCTCTCTTTGATAAAATACACAATAACTGATCTGATGGGTGTCCCTCCTCCTCCTCAGGCTATGTGCAGGGTATGAGCGACTTGCTGTCTCCAATCCTCTACGTGATGGAGAACGAGGTGGACGCCTTCTGGTGCTTCGTCTACTTCATGGACCAGATGGTGAGAAAACAGACTACACACAGACGTGTGTGTCTGTATATATGTGTGTGTGTTTGTGAACATTGCCAATGTACATACAGTAAGTGTCTTTGACATGACAACAAAAAACGAAACTAAATGACATTCGTTAGGACACTTTCTGTCTCCAACATCTGCTGTTAGTATGGTAACCACAGACACACTCAGCCAAAAGTCACCAGTTAACAAGGTCACTTTTTAAACCATAACACCAACATCAACAAACATCAAGCAGCATTTCCCAATAAAAGCACCCGGGGCAGAGATGTTATTCAATAATTTCTCTGAAGGACAGGGCGCGCTGTCCTCTCGCTCAGGTTGATGAGCCATCTGACCACGTAAGAGCGAGGTGTGCCCAGCTCCGGGTGTCGATGTTTTTACTCGTATCTTATGGAAGTTTAAATTTAGGTATTTAACTGTGTTTGTATTTCAGCACCAGAACTTTGAGGAGCAGATGCAGGGCATGAAGACTCAGCTGATCCAGCTCAGCTCTCTGCTCAGACTGCTCGATGTCTCCTTCTGGAACTACCTCGGTAAGAAACACAGTTTGCTCTGTGATGATGTAACGATGTTACAGGACGTCTGTTTTCACATAATCCAGTTCAAACAAATCTAAAATAAAAATGATTCCAGCTGCAGACTTCGTTCTTCATGCAGCTGTGAGCGAACACTTTGATGTCTTACAGCGGTCAGCGGTGTGATGTCATAAGAGCTGCAGGACGTGCTGACACGCTGCTGTGGTCGATCAACTTTGCTGAACTTGATAAAAATTGTCTTGCTGGACGACAGTTTAAACCTTTTTTTTGTCTTTGGGAGATCTCCAAAATCAGACTGCGACTTATATCCTGGATTTTATGCTACATCCATGAAGAGTTTCTGCTACCCCTTAAAGATAGCAGCTGCGTTGACGCATCTAACAAGCCCGAAAGCGTCATCAGAGCGTAGATATCTGTCCACAGTAACCGCAGAGCAGCTCCTCTGAATGTAAAGTTAATTAAAAGTATTCAGAGCTCCAGGCGGAGGCGGAGGGATACAGAGTGAAAAGTCCCAGTAATGTGGTTTTCCTCTTGTTGTCCAATCAGAATGCTTGTTGATGTTTTTATCAGCAGTCAGCTGCAGGTGCAGAACAGTAAGATATAAGTAGTGAGCATTAATGTGATGAATAATAACTAGTACACCTGTGTGATGTGATTGGTTCACAGAGTCTCAGGATTCAGGCTACCTGTACTTCTGTTTCCGATGGTTACTGATCAGATTCAAGAGAGAGCTCAGCTTCCAGGACGTGCTGCGACTGTGGGAGGTCAGTCACTCTTTCATCGGTCCCCCTGCTGTGTGAAGTACCTGTGTGTACCTGTGTACCGGTCTTTACCTGTGTGTGTATGTGTGTGTGTGCTGTCTCCAGGTGATGTGGACCGGGCTGCCCTGTCAGAACTTCCACCTGCTGGTCTGCTGTGCCATCCTGGACTCTGAGAAAACACAAGATCATGGAGGAGAACTACGGCTTCAACGAGATCCTCAAGGTGACTCTACTCTGTTCTCCTAAATTGGTTTTACATCAGGGACCCAGGTCCAGATCAGAGTACACCTGACCCCAAAGTCCTGTTCATTTGACCAGTGTGAACTAGGGCTAGCCGATAGGTATTGAAGGCCATTTTGGCGACATTTAGAAGATGTTTCAGACCCCTGGCTCCAGAGATGGTCACTGATGGTGTCCAGAGGTCAGTCGGTGGAGGTGAGACGGCGAGCAGCCACAGGAGGACTGCTAACGTTAGCCGACATCTCCATAATCAGTCATGGATCATATTTTAAATGTAGAGATGTCGAGTTCTCCTCAGACACCCTGCTGTATCTCTGTCCATATTCTGTCACTGAGGACTAGTTTAGAACTGAATCTTATATAGTATTTTAAAAAGAAGTCGTAACATCATGAGATATTTTCATTTGTTTTGAATGAAAAGGAGACCAGAGACGAGAGGTTTAGTCTAACCAATTACAGTAACTAAGGAGCATGGGAATGGCACCCGTGCTCAAACAAGGAAGTGGGGTGCAAGTTGCAGTCAGCGAGTAGAGTGCTGCTCTGGCTCATCTCCTCCTCTGAGCTGCAAGTCGTTTTTAACGTCTCATGAATAACTAAAACATCCACAGTTAGCAGGATGGACTTCATTGTCTGCACGAGACTCAAACAAATGTCGCCCAGTTGATCATGAGAGTTGTTGCCATGGTTACTTTCTGCTTTTTGGCGGATTTGCAAACCAACTATGTGCATAGCGCCATCTGCTGTTTTGTAACTTTGTACATACGTAGATGTACTCGATTACAGAGCGGAGGTGGGGGGGTATGGCGCCTAATATGAAAACGCCCTTTAAGAGGTCATATTATGCCTTTTTGGGGTTTGTATATTTAATCTACTGTATGTACCTACTAAAGTATGTTCACAATAGCTAATTTAAAAAAAAGTGTTCTGTTTTCATGTACTGTCGCTCCATGCACTGGCTCGCTTCTGACTCTCTCTCTAAGGCTCTGAAGTGCCCACATTCAGAGTCCCCACGTGTGCCAAGTCTGATCTGATTGGTTGGCCTGTCAGCTCTGCTGTAATTGGTCAGTGGCTCAGCACGGTTTCTCGGAAATGTCACGCCCTTTTACCATATGGGAATGCAGCCACTTTGGCTCCGAGCAGAGCAAAACATTAGCACCTTAGCACTACTGTGCTACCGCAGGCTACGGCATATTGTAGGCGTGCTAAAGAAGTTAATGGGCGTGCAACATGAGCTGCAGGGCTTGCCACAACGAGTCAATGGGCTTAGATCAGTGATCTCACACTGACAAGACGTCACACTGGCAAATTTTTTTTCGAGGGGGGCTAGAACCGAGCGTTACATGCAACTAATGCTACACAGCTAACAGGAGGACGTAGGCGAAGCCGGACTTTGAATTTTTGCACATAGATGTGCCTAAACATGCACAGGATACATGGAAAACACGCTAAAGAGCATATAAAACCAGAAAAAGCATAATAAGACCCCTTTAATGAGGAGGAGGAGGACGACCACTCCTGTCTGATTGGATCGCAGTGTTGTCTGCGTCTGGTTGTGTTTCTGTTCTTCATTAGAGTCAGAGATGATGATCTTCTCTCATCAGCACATCGTTCTTTAACATATTTAACCCTTCACACTCCTCAGACTTTTTTCCAGAAAGTTCTCAAACATCCATCACGTTCTGCGTGTCCTAAAAGACACTAGTACGAGCTTTTCTGCCACTCAAAATAATAACAGATGACGACCTCGCTGTTTAGCAGGCTGAGAGATGTCATCAAAGTGATGTTTGTGTGTTTTTGTTACAGCATATAAACGAGCTCTCAATGAAGCTGGACATCGAAGAAATCCTGCAGAGTCGGAGGGGATCTGTCTGCAGATCAAGAGCTGTAAGGTGCGTTCAGAGACCTTCGTTCTTACACTAATCCAGGACACATAACTGCACGGGTTCAGTCCATGTTTGCTTTAACTCACATGAAAATAAAGATGAAATGAACAAAGCTTCACATCGCTCTCTACCAAACCATCTTCACTAAATCACTGTTTTTAATCAAGAGTTATTGAAGCTTTAGTTACAGGAAAACTGTTTTTATTCAGCTCCGTCATATAAACATGTTTCTGACCTGTCATTACTCCCCCTCCTCATTCTCCTCTCCCCCTCCTCCCATCTCCCATCTTAACCGCTACTTCTTATTCTCCTCTTCTCTCCTTTTCCTCTGTCTACCTTCCGAACCTCCTCATCCACTACTTCCGTCTCTTCCTTTCCTCCTCTCCTCTCTCTCTCCTCCTCCAGGACCTCCCTCATGCGGTCAGTGTGATCCTGGGCTTCGACTCCAGCGTTGGCATCTCTGAGTCGTCGGCTGGCGCCTCATCTCCCTCTGTCGGAGCGTCTCTGCGAACGGACGCCTGCTCTAACGGACACTTGAGAGAAACAAGCTCTCACACCAACAGTTGTAAAGTGGCCTTCATATCGTAGTGAACAGAGACTGACTGAGGTGTCAGAGGAGGGGGGCCGACCCCCATCCCCTCCAGTCAGGAGGAGGAAAATGTATAAAAGGAATTGAGATTATTAAGAATCTTATTTTTGTAATTTCTTGTACCATATTGTCTCTTTGATTCAGTCATTCCTTCTCTGCTGATGATGCTCTCCATACTCCATCAGAAGGGGGGGGGGGGGCATTATTATGTGTCTGGACAGGAGAAGCTAACAGGAGAGGCTAACAGGAGAAGCTGAGACAGAAAGCAGTGTTATGAATCTTTCTTCTGAAAATGATTCATAAGTCTTCACAATAAAGAGCTGGTGTTCAATCATAATGCGACACTTCATGCTTATTCAGAGAAAATCTCTCAGCCAGAATCAGGGCTGTCGTGTTATCAGAATGTTAAACTTGGAGATGATTCAAATGTACAAATCAAGCAGTATTGATAACCTGTTGTAGTGTCTGTTTAGCTGTAAGTAATTAGAAACTTTAAAGGACCGAGCATAGAACCCTGAGGAAACCCCACGGATCATCCAACACTACAAACAGGATGTAAGCGGCCTCAGTCTCCTCAGTTGATTTGTTTTTATGATTCCCCAGCAAAACTGACTGAACTGTTGATGTACGGTCGTCACAGTAATGTGGTCGGGGTAATATTGGCGCCCCAGTCTGTGAATTCACATTGAGTTTTAGAAGCACGGCAATGTGGGAGCTCCACATACACACACAGCGCTGTGCTCCCCCTCTTGCTCTGCTAAAACCATCTCCCCTCAGTAACACCTCTGTTACTACCTCTAAAGACGTGCAGTGGAGGGATCCTTTGTTCCCCATTACGTCCTGCGACATTCGGATTGAAGGCGAAACGTCACAGGGGCGTAAATATGAAACCTCTGGTCTAAATAGGGTTCTATGAACTTCATTAATGTGTCACTCCGCAGAAATTCTGATTTATTACAATCATATAGAAATTGTCTTTAAATCACGTTTCTACTGTGGGGGTTATTAGAGTAATTACTGATTAGTACACAGCTGTGACGTTAAGGTAACCCCCCCCGATGGAGCAACAGGTGGGCGAAGCCTCATGTGGCAACCCTGTGACGAGGTTTCCGGTCCATGATGAGGATTTTATTTACAGCCAGCCCATCACACACATCATTATTATCATTATTATTATTATCATCATATTTCTTTACATAACCCTCTCGAGTGTCGATCAGCTGATTGGTGCTGGATTAAGTTGAGTTGTGTTTTTATGAAGTGATCTCATTGGAGGTCAAGTTTTGTTTCTCGTTGGGAGTTAAATGAGGAGTTCTCAGGTTTAATCTCCACCATCAGATTGATTTATTAGCGTTTAAAATGTATTACCATTGTTTGTCACGTCGCTCAGAACCAAAGTCAATAAAGTTTTTTAACCAATTGCTCAAATTTAAACTCCAGAAAGTTTGTTTCCGTCCTGCTTAATCGAACTTTTATTTTATGATCTTGCTGCTCAAATATTGTGATGCTAACATGGCACACCAACAATGCTAATCTTGCTAACACTGCTAACACCGTTGTTCTGACGGCCAAACGTTTTTATAAAACTCTGCTCACATTTACCTCCCAATGACTGTGTAGTTACCATGGATACCACAGGGCATTATGCGGGAGGTGTGGATAACTGCCAGCCCTAACCTGTTTCCTGTGGCTCCTTCACAATAAAAGTGTTATTAGGTGAAGCAGCAGGAGGAGATGTAGTGTTAGCAATAGCGGTGAGCTGTTCAGTGTATAACTGTGACAGGTAGAGATCAGATCATAACTTTAATCTCCTCATGTATCTCCTGATGAGAAAACAAAGAGAATCACAGGTTAATGATCACAGTATGTTATTATAAAGTCATGAGAAGATGGTCACTTTAAAGTCTCAGAGCAGATAAAATAATATATAATGTTGTGGATTCAAGCTGAACTCTGCTTCATCTTTATGTTCCTGTTCCAGATCATTTAAATCTGATTCCGCTCTTAATGTCATCGACTCAACGTTCGGGCAATAAAACGATTTCACTTTGACTCATAAACAACACAGGGCTGTCATGTACTTGAACTTTTTAAACTTTGAGATGATTCTGGTTCAAATCAAACAGCACTGATACCTGTTACAGTCTTAGCTGTAACTAAAAAGAAGCTATAGAGGACCGAGAATAGAACCCTGAGGAACCCCACGGATCATGCTAACACTATAAAGAGGTTGTAAGCTGCTACAGTCCCATCAGTCTCTGTTTTTATGATCCCACAGCAAAACTGAGTGAACTGTTGATGTATTGTTTTCACAATATAAGAATTTCTTCAACTTCAATCTGATATTGATCGACAGAAATAGAAGTCCTACACAAAACCCCTGATTTTGCTTTTTAAGACAGCATGCCGACCTACTGCACAGCTGGTACGCACACAAGCGTCTTTCTTCCGATGTTAAAGTGTCTTTAATCTGCAAACTAATCGACACAAAATGCATGAGCTGACTTTATTTGTTAAAACATGAAGCTACATCCCACCCTCTCTTTACACCGCAGGTCACACCTACACATGCACAGACTGATGGTAGAGGCTGCTGAGTAGAGTCCATCAGTAATAACTCATCCATACACACACACTCGTGCCGCCAATGAAGAAGCAGGAAACTTGCTCAAGGACACATTGGACACATGGCTGCAAGAGCTGGGGATTGAACCCCTGACCTTCCAGTTGAAAGGCGTCCAACTCTACCAACTGATCCACAGCCTCCTAGTAGCAGGGGGCTCGAAGTGAGTAAGGTTGGGGACCACAGCTCTAATGCACAGGTATAAGGTTAAAATGTAGGTGACGGGTCACAATGCCAGAATTTTAAAACTTTGACATGATTGTAGTTCAAATCAAACCATACTAAGTCCTACATAATATGGGGTACTCCTGCACGCTGTTGAAAAACACAAACATGTTGGAAATGTTTCTGCACACTAATGTGACCAAACCCTGTGCGGACATAAACATGTTAAATGTTGTTAAAACAGGAATAACTAAAAATAAAATGTTTTTTATTGACGGCTGAGCAGAGACAGACGAGCATGCGGAGCTGCTTTTCATCTTTAATTCATTCATGATCTGCAGAAATGTCAGAGCTGCAGCTAAACGGATCCAAATGTCATTTCAGCTGCTCTCATCTGCATGATGGACGTCTTCCCCCTCGTCTCCTCCCCCCTTTGATGGGAGGCTTTTGGCGTTGGAGGTAGAGGAGATGGAGGGAGGTATCACCTGCAATCTGCTCATAAAGCTGCTTCAGAGTCAGAACAAAGCCGCCTCACCGCTCTTTTCATTTCCTGTCAGGCAGGAAATTGTCTGAGCTCTCCCGGCTGATAGCACGTCGCCCGTTGCCTGCCGCCACTAATCAGCTAACCATCTCTGCAGGTTTTATTGAGGTGGAGGCTGTTGTGGGTTTGATGGCGGACTGTCATTCATGGTGAGGCTGCACAGAAACGCTTCAGCTAATTATAGAAAGACGAGGAAACACAGAGCTGTTGATGAGATCACAGACTCTCAGTTCCTGTCACAACGCTTGTCATAGCACCAAACTTTGATATGAGAACTCAAACAACATTGATACTGCTCGTTACCACGGCAACCAAATAGAAGTCCAGGTTGTGTCAGAAACCATTCATAATAAATATGGCGCCACATTGAGTACAAAGTTCGATCAGAAATCATAGAATGGAATATGAAAAAAAAGATAAATACCTGGATGCAGCAAGGGCAGAGGTTGGATGTGAACCTGCGGCCGCTGCAATGAGGACTGTAGCCTCTGTACATGAGGTGCACAACACAACCGCTAGGCTTTTGGCGACCCGACTATCCAACCGCAATGCTGGCCGTGGCTATACCAATAAAATAACTGTAAAAAATACTTTTTACGTGTGGCCAAATAATATTAAAATGACCACGTAGCTGAATTCATAATTTACAGACCGACAGTTGTGTTAGCTTGATGCTAACTCATCCAACATGTTTCATACAGATGTTTCGTACAGATGTTTTGTATTCTCGATGCTTTCTCTCACTCTTAAGTAAAAATCTGACTGAAGATCTGAAGCTTTCTCAAAGTTTTGGTCCTTTTTGAAACCTTCGGTCATGGAAGCCCTGAGTGGACATAAAATGTTACTTTTTATTTGACTCGAGTAAACTCCTGCAGCTTTCCTGAAACCTTGACATGTTTATCTTGGAAAACGCGTTGTTATTCAGAGTTCAGGAGAGAAATACAAGGAATATTGAGAAAACAACAGACAAGTCCAGGATAAGAAGACGATGAAAAAGGTTAGATCTCGTTTCCTCGTTCCTGTTTGTTTGTCCGCTCAGGGCTCCGTACTGTTTTGTGTAAAAATGTTCTCTCTGAACTCATGGTTGTTAAAGCCTGCAGAGAGGGGACGTCTGCTGAGGGGGGGAGCCTCCCCTCCCAGCCTCCTCCCCCTGTGTGTCTCAGTATATATCTCCAGACTCGGGGGGGAGACTGCGTCCGTCTGTGTCTCTCTCCGTTCCTTTAGGTGTGTGTCTGAGCAGGTGCAGACCTGGAGCCGTGGTACTCGTACACTCATTGGTTCCCCATGGCCTCGTCCATGTGATGAAGGACGGGCCCCCCCGGGCCCCCGCCAAGATGCAGCCCGCCATGATGATGTTCTCCAGCAAGTACTGGTCCAGAAGGGGGATGTCGCTCGACTCCGCCTGTTCCAGCAGCAACGCCACACGGGCGGGCAGATGGTGAGGACGCACTCTCTTCTTCATCTCCATCACCTTCCTCTCTCCTCCTCCTCTCCTCTGCTCCTCTTCCTCCTCCTCCTCTTCCTCATCCTCGTCCTCGTCCTCGTCCTCGTCTCCTCTTCCTCCTCTCTTCCTCCTCCTCCTCCTCTCTCTTCTCCTCCTTCGTCTTCCTTGTCCTCGTCCTCGTCCTTGTCCTCGTCCTCCTCCTCTCTCTTCCTCCCTCCTCGTCTTCCTCGTCCTCCTCTTCCTCCTCCTCTTCCTCCTCCTCCTCCTCC